TATTTTGGGGATTGAGTATATATATTGTATTACGGTTCTATTAGATACTAATTAGCGCTGTACTCATAATTTTTGCACTGTTTATTCACTTATTTTGGGTATAAGTTTAGTGTCAGCAGCTTATGGTTATAGGGTAGGAGTCCTTGTGAGTGCAGGAGGTTTTTTGTAATTATCTTTGTGCTGCAGTGCCAGCTTCTCTCGGAGGATGATGCCCCGTCCCCCTCCTCCTTTCCCTGGCTGACCTGACTGTCCATGCTGTCTGGAATCTCTTCACTGTGGAGGAATCTTCTGCTGTCCCCGTGAATCTGCCTGGACCTAACTCTTTGGTTCTCTGTGAATCTGCCTGGACTTAACCCCTTGCTCTCTGTGAACCTGTCTGGACTTAACCCTTCCCTGCCTGGAGCTTCCTGTGTGTATTAACCCCGTGGATTACCATACCCCTGTTGTTTCATAATGCCTTCCAGAGAACTTTACTGTGTTGCTGTGTCTGGTGTGGATCTGTGGACTAACGGAACTGTTGTCGTGCCCCAAAAACCTCCCCAATAAACGCCCGCAGGTCGGGTTCCGTGCAATCTTTCTCTGTGTGCTCTCTGGTTCTCTTGACAGGGGAATTTTACAGCAAATTATATTATTGCCTTTAACCATCACAACACTCCCTATTTAAACTTGATAAATTTACCAACTTTATGTCTAATATAAAACTACTCAAATTATCCCCCAATAAATTGGCCTCATTAATTACAGGAATTACAAATGAAGTATTGACTGAAGCTGTGAAAAAACTCCCTCTTCATAAATTACCCTGCTCAGATTGCCTACTTTATTCATATTATAAACAGTTTCTGCCTAAGTCCACATTTACCTAACCTATTGAGAGCCCTGCTCAAAGGAAAACTTCCCCAGCCCCAATTTTTGCACCCGTTTATAAAGATTATTTCTAAGCCCAGAAAGAACTCAACCTCCATCGCTAACTATAGGCCAATTGCCTTGCCTAATTGAGATGACAAATTTTAACTAAGATATTACCTAAACAGATTGCCAATATTACTTCCCATGCTTATCAATAGAGGTCAAGTGGGGTTTGTGGGGTTTGTGCTTAACAGGCTATAGTAAGACTGCAGTACGCTTGAGATAAAACTAGTAGACATTTGCATTTTGTTTCAATTGTTTTTCAAATGAAAATGTTATTTTCAGAGATTTGGATGTATAAAAATCTCCAAATGAACATAGTAATGAATGTCAATGAATCAAATGAAAGTTATAACAAAATTAATAAATGCATTAGTTTCATTCAAATGACATCACATGAAGCGATAGTAGTCTGGGCCCATGGGGAAATTTTCAATTTTCAAATTTGTTTGATAATTCCGATATGGATAATTAATGGATCCAAATGTCATTCCATTTGTTAATTTGGATGCACATGATCCCAGTCGAAATTGTCCAATCAGCTCATGCCATTTCTCTTGGTGGGTTGGACTAGTATGCAAATATATTAAATCCTTCTGATTCAAATCTGTCCAATTTGATAATATATCGAATATATAGCAATCTTCTGATAAAACTGCTAAATTTTTTTAATCCACCCGAACCAACAAATATAAGAAATAGATGACAAAGATACAAAATTAATTCAGAAAATGTGAACAACATAATGAATATGATTAAATTAAGTTCTTCAATGAATGAATACATCTAAAAGAAACAAAATGAAAACACATGTCTAAACACTAGGTGGACCAAAGATCTAATTGATGTTGTGACACTAGCACTATCCTGCTTCTAAGCCTATATGCTCAGAAAGCCTTTGATACATTAGGTTGGCCATACAGTATACGTTTTCTATCTTTCAACAGCTAGGTTTAAGGGCCCTCTTCCAAAATCCTATATTCCACTTCCTTAGCACAAGTTAAACTTCTACAAGCGATGTCCACCTGTTTCCAACAGTTGGACTACATCAGGACTATCCAGCTTCTTCCATGTTGTTTATCCTTTTACCTAGAACCTTTAGTAGGGCTATCCAAACAAACACTAATATACATGGAAGGTGCTTCTCACTATAAGGAATATAAACTTTCCCTTTTTGCAGATGATATGCTACTAACACTTATATATATACAGTATATTCTACCAGAGGTGTTTAGTAGCCTATCATGATATAAGATCAACTTCACTAAACCTTTGTATATCCCTACAACTCAAATCTCTCAGGCTAATTGCCCTTATAAATGGTGTGAAAATTCAATAAAATAGCTAGGCATCTCTGTTACCCCTACCTATCACACCTTAAATAAAACAATCTCCCCCCTTTATTTCAAGAGATCCATAAATTACTAAAACAGCAGGCCACCTATAACCTGGATCACATCACCACATTAAGATGTCCATCCTACCAAAAATGTTCTTTCTGAAATCCTCCCTATTCCAGTCTAACTCTCACACTTACATTGTCTTCAGAGAACATTTACCCAATTAATTTGGAATTATAGGACACACAGAAGTGCTAGCACTGTGCTGTTAAACTCAAAGAAGATTTAAATAAATATTGCAATGCCACTCATCTCCACCAAGCAGTTTCCTAGACAACACAGACAGCGTTTACAACCTGGAAATAGATTGAACATGGGCAGATCTACTTGATCATCCTACTTGCTTTTGCTTCATAAGCCAGTTATAGACTTGGATGGCCACTTTTATATAGTTTGAATTTTTTGCTAGGGCCCTGGTTGAGTGCTACATGCTGGGGTCCAGTGCACTCCTTTGCCTTCTGGCTCCCATGCCACCTGCCCTTATCTATCCATTAAATTGTGTAATATGACTCACAAGTTGAACAGATGATTCAGGGTGATTCGTGGCTCCCTTACTTTTGTATTTGCAAATCTTAAACCCCTGTTATATATACTGTTAGACAGGTTAATTCGGTTGCTATGCAAGCTGGCTAGCAAGTTGCAAAGAACATCTCCCCCTATGATACCATATGATACCATGCTTTTTGGTGTGGTCAATATAAATTTGCTTTTGGGAGACTAGATCTTCCCTTCTGGCACCCATGCATTTAATCTATTTGTAATTGATGCAAGTTGAATTCTATAACTCATTGATTAAGGACTTTTGAAGATTTGAGGACTAGGAAGGACCTTTCTAAAAATATATTCTACTTTTATCTTCAGATTAAACTTATCTATAAAAAAATGAATCTCTTACAATAGACTGCCCGACAATTTTTGAAACCATATGAGTCCAGGATCCTTCCCAGCTCCAGATGATCACAACCTTATATATTTTTACTTCATGATATGTCTTTTTCTACAGGAGACCATCATTTATATTTGAGAAAATAGGATAAAGCCCTCCAGCAATCTATCCTTTCAGTTTGTGTTGTATATAAAGAGAACATCTATAACATTTTAATGTTTTGGTGTAAGACCCTTGCGGTGCTATATTCCCATATCCCATCAGCGTTGAAGAGGTGCTGGAGATGTGGATAGTTAGTGGGTACTCTTCTCTCATATATTCTGGCAATGCCCCAATGCCATTTTGGAAAAAAGTAGTATTGTGTCAAGTTATGGAGGTTGTACTCCCCACAGATCCTATACATTGTCTCCATGGTTTAACTTACCTAGAAATATCCAAACCTTCAAAATAGATTAACTACCTATATCTTGAGAGCAACTAGAAAACTCATTCCTTCGTTTTGGAAGAGTACAGTTATCACACCTCAGACATATTAATCAGATACCATTGAGGAAATCAGGAGGATGGAACATCTAATAGCAAAAATCTGGGATGGATTGGAAATATTCTCTCAGCATGGGATCGTTCACTTTTGCTTCTGATCAACATTCCTTCTTATATTTTTGATAATTTGTAGTAAATGCAGAACATAACACAGTACTCATTCCAATGTTTTTTCAAATTTAAGAATATACTGTCATGCTATTTGAGCTGTTTTGGTTTATATCCTTGTATTACACCGTTTTATAAATTTCTTTCTTGTTTGATATTTTTTTTTCTTTTTCTACTATCCTCCCTTTAACAATCACAGGTTTACATTTCAGTATTTATAGCACCTACATTGTTACAGCTGCCTTTAGCAGGATTACCTAAAACCTAGACATTTCATCCCTCACAGGAAGGTAGGTTAAAGTATCTCCTCTTTTGGCACTATACAATTGCTTTGTAAAAAAAAAGTCTGTAAATGATGAAATGGTATTTCTGACTGTATTGATACATTACTGATTGTACATATTAAATATTTGTTTGCTGTTAATATATCCCTGCAACTTGTTAAAACCTGCAAATATCAATAAAAATGCAAATCCAAAAACATACAGTATATATTCAATACATGTCTAAATTACATGCACATTTCCCCATAGTGTATACATTTAAAAAGCTGAATATATAGAAGAATACCTCTTAATTTGCCAGAAATGCATTGTAAGCTCTGCCTTCTGAACTGTGGAAGTTCACCTCTCCCTCACTCTATGTGCCTACATTGATTTTGTTCCCAACAAAACAATGCTGCTGTTACTCCCACGAACTGTCCCACAGGGGTAAGGGACCTTGGTGAATGTAATTCTGAGAATGTGACTAAGCCAGTAGGAACAAACATGCCATCAGCTGCCTATGCATGAATTTTATGAGACTGAAGATATTATCAGAGGGAAAAATAAAATCTGAACAAGGTTAAAATTAAATAAATAAATAAATACATACATAAATAATACGATCTAGAGGGGTTATAGGTAAAACTGGATAACATCTACACTGAGTAGCCTTATCAAACCATTCAGTCTTTGCGCTCTCTTCCAAGGTGAGTTTGCCTTTTGTCTTTCCCAATTTGTTTTGCATACATGTCTCACCAAAACTGTACAAATATGGAATATACAATTATATGCATGCCTTTGTAATACACACAGTTAGGCAAACTGTGTATAATACTTTTTAAAGCATTTACTTATTGGTAGTTATATAGCAAATAAAATGAAAACTATTACCGCACAGGGCTGTTTGTTGAATCTGGGTCATGTGCCATCACAGTTCCAATGCTACTGCCTATCTTTGCTGATTCAGATTCCACCATTCTATAAAAGGCTTGAGAAAATACAGGAGGTTCATCCACATCTTCTACAGTAATTTTCACTGTTGTTGTATCCATGAATGGGCCCACACTAAGAAATCGATTGTCCACATGTTTGTTTGCTGCTTCTATCCTCAGTGTATAGCTGGTCTTTGTTTCATAATCGAGTGCCTGAGGAAAATGAACATACTCCATAAATATAACCAAGTCATGTGCCCTAGATAACCAATTATATTTATTTTATACCATTACAAATTCCAAGTGCAAAAAGCAATAGGGGAATATTTAAAGTACATGTACAATCTTATGTAAGTTTCTGCATGTCAATTTCATTTCTGACGTCATTTTCTTAAATCATTTCAATAGTTTCAAATCTGCAGTTTCCATTAAAAGAATCACTGGTGATTCACTGGTGATTTTGCCAGGATGGTCCTTGTACAGGCATTACTGGTATTACAGGCATTACTGGTGATCCATTTACGTTCAGTTATGATCAGGAAATCTGCTCTGAGACATGACATGCAGCAGTGTCTGAAGTGTATGCATGTAGACAGAATGTTGCTGCAAAGATACTACAGGAGATCAAGAGTACTGAGATGCAATAAAGGAAAAATCTAAAAAATTTAAAAAAGAGCAATTTATTAAAAAAGAAATCTCATGATAATTGTTTATTCTACATGGTGCTTATGCAAACCAAATGTCATCCATCTAGAGTTTACATGTAATTTAACTACTCTGTATATCATTAGACTGGTTACTCTAAAAATGGCTTTAAAACTGCTGTGATTGGCATGGCTAAAAGTGATTAAAATCTATGACTCTATGGGTAACACTAGATCTTGCCAATTAGGTATTAGCATACTGAAAAATACATAAAAACTGAGGTTAGTGTAAAGTATGTTTAACTATGTTATAAAATATGAATGCCATTATAAAATATTATGCTGAATTGGAATGCATTATGCAAAAAATAGATGAAGCTGTTTAATTAAACATTAAACTATCCTGAAGGGATGGTGTATTGTAATATGAATATATACATGTAACACAGTTCTCTGGAACATATGATAGAAGGCACTGAAATACCATATAGTCTTCTGTTTCAGTCAGTGAAAAGTGGAACTATGTTTTTGTTTTGAGTCTAGGGATGAGTTCCGTGTTCAGTCCAAACCCTGGTTCGAACCAAATTTTACTTGTTTGGAGGTTCATATTTACAACATATTGTGAACTTTCAGAACATTCATCAGGAAATGCCTGGAAGAACATCTCACAATGCAATGCATTCTGACCTCTGATGATTTTTGCCCAAATCCTAGCCCACTGTTAACTAGGTGATGTGTATACAGTGCTGTGAAAAGTATTCGCCCCTTCCTGATTTTATTTTTTGCATATTTGTCACACTTAAATGATTCAGATCATCAAACAAATGCTGCAATTTGTATTTACTCAAGTTATCTTTGTGTAATATTAAAATGTGTTTTATTATCTGAATTATTTAAGTGTGTTGAAAATCATGATGGGGGCTAAAAACGTTTTCACTTTTGTGTATATGAATACATGTGTTGCTGTAGTTACAACCATAGAAATACATTCAGTACAAATACTAGGGCCAAATTAGACAGGATCCAATTAACCTACCAGCATGTCTTGGGAAGAAACAGGAGTACAGCCATGCAGGCACAAAGAGAACATACAAACTCCAGACAGGTTGTGCCATGTTTGGGATTCATATCAATGATCTTAGTGCTGCTAGGTGAACGTGGTAACTACTTGGCCACCCAAGGGTTTTAAACTATCACTATTGTTCTTTTTTGATAGATGCTGGGTTTTTTTTGTACCAGGCATACAGATCCTTTACAATTATTTATGTTAAAAGATCTGGACATTGCAAAGCAGCTACAATGCCCAACGGGAAAAATCATGGCTGAGGATTTTGGAGGGCTGGGACTAGAAAGCCAGTTGTGAGATACACTTTGCATTTGCTATGGCAAATAGACAGTTCATTTTGCAAAGGCAGTTGCATGTTGCAAGTGAATTTGCTTCAGTGCTTAGAGAATGTGGCGAACTTTCACTTTGCAAAGAATATCCAATCATGTACAAGGAAAATGTAAAAAAAAATGTTTGCTTGTACATGATTAAATGATGGAAATCAGAAGAGCTTCAACTCATTCACTAATTTCAGACTACTTGCCTTTAGCAAATCAAATCCATAATTTCTTAGCAGACAATACTAGTATTTATTAGACCATAACCCAGGGGATCAGTCTGGTTATGACAGTGATAAAAATATACAGGTTAAAACATGAAAACAAGACCACTCTGTATGGCCATTTGGTAGAACATGGCACTAACTGAGATGCAGGGACTGAAAGTACTCAGCTTTTCTCAGAACCACTGATTTGTGGATCTTGGGCTATAGGCAAGTTCCAGAGTGCAACACTTGCAATATCCCTAGCTGGAAACTACAAAACAGACATGGATAAAATCAAGGGCAACTACAAAGAACACACTAAGCATCTAAGGCTAGAAAGGTGACATAGGTAACAAGTAAGAACAGAAGCTAGGAAACATACTAGTTGATTTCATAAAAGCAAAATGAAAAACAGAAAGCAAGGCAGACATAGCAAATACAAACAAAAATAATTCAAACAACAAAGAAAAAAGAGCTAGCTGGAGGTTAAGAACTAAGGTCACAGTATTGAAGATATAAAATAAATATGTGAGCACTCAAAATATAGTATATTAGCAGCTGTACACTAAGGTAACCAAAATAAACCCTTTAAAAAGACACAAGATATATATAAAAAGTGCAGCGCTATAAAATAATGTAAAATGATACTATGGTAAATATTTACAAAACATAATTATGATAAAATATGATAAAATATAATAAAAGTTCGTAAAGTGATATATAGGTGCCAGTTAGGTCCTGATGACTCAATTCCGTGATTGTGCTCTCGTGAACAGAAGAAATGTGCACTCACCGGACGCACAGTAATAATGCGCGTTTATATAATATATCCAGATGTCATCAGATAAGGTCATCAAGGCCAGGTAGGAAATGACTCCCTCTCAGCATGAATGGATCCAAAAGCCTTATGGGATGATCCAGGGGTGTCCAGAGCTCCCCTTTATGGAATGGATGGGTGCAGATCTCAGGGTGTTAGCAGGCTCCCTCTCTGGAGGCTAAGGGCTGGGCATCTGGAAAATCAGCACTGCTCCTCCGGGAGCCTCCCCCAGGCACAGGCAGCGATAGGTAACCTTCTCCGAGGCGCTGTGAGCACTGTGAGCTGTGCCAGGTTGGCTGGGAGATGAGCTGAACTGGTCCCCGGACACTGATTTACTTGGGGCGGGAAGAAGAGGGCCACTGGGGCGGAGAAGCCGAGGAGACACTACTGGCTGGGGGAGGGGATCTCACTATCAACTTCCTGGCTTCCGCAGATTTGCTTTTCCCACGTCTTAGGTTACCTATTGCTGCCTGTGCCTGGGGGAGGCTCCGGAGGAGCAGTGCTGATTTTCCAGACGCCCGCCCTTAGCCTCCAGAGAGGGAGCCTGCTAACCCCCTGAGATCTGCACTCATCCATCCTCTTAAAGGGGAGCTCTGGACGCCCCTGAATCATCCCATAAGGCTTTTGGATCCATTCATGCTGAAAGGGAGTCATTTCCTACCTGGCCCTGATGACCTTATCTGATGACATCTGGATATATTATATAAATGCGCATTATCACTGTGCATCCGGTGAGTGCACATTTCTTCTGTTCACAAGAGCACAATCACGGAATTGAGTTATCAGGACCTCACTGGCACCTATATATCACTTTATGAAATTTTATTATATTTTATTATATTTTATCATAATTATGTTTTGTGAATATTTACCATAGTATCATTTTACATTATTCTATAGCGCTGCACTTTTTATATATATCTAAGGCCACAGTATATCTCTTTGATATAGTCAGAAAAAGAATGCTTCAGTATCCTCCCACCAGAATAACAGTGGTATACATTTCTGGGAAATCAGAAAAAAAGGTATGCAAGGGTGGTGCAAGGTGCCAAAGTTGGGGCAGTGACATGGATTAGGTGTAAGGACATTCTTAACAAAGAAAAGTACAGGCGCTAAACAGAACAGTAAAAAAATTAAAGCACAAGAATAAATAAATCCTGGTTTTGAATTCAGGCAGAATTTCAAGGCAGCCTCGTAGGAGAGCTCTGTGGTCTACTAAATACTGTCTGCTTGTGTCTAATATACATTAACAAAATGGCAAAGTGTTTTTTAATTTAAGGATATATATATCTGTTATTTGTGTTCATTGCCCAATTCTTCTGTATTTGGTGTTTTTTTCCCTGACAAAACAGTGGGGTTTATTTACTAAAGCTGGAGAGTGCAAAATCAGGCTAATTTCTGCATAGAAACCAATAAGTTTTTCTAACCTCAGCTTATTTAATTACCTTTGGCAATAAAACTTAGAAGCTGATTGGTTCCTAGGCAGAAGTGAGCATGATATTGCACTTCCCAGCTTTAGTGAGTGTGCCTTGTTTGCTCAAAAAACAGTTGATGGATCTGTTGGAACTATGGAAGTCTTCAAATCTTCAATGAAGATAAATATTAGTTTCCCATTGATTTCAGCATCTTTTTTAACTCAGCAGACTTCTCCGATATATATATATATATATATACACTGTGTGTATATCTATATCTATCTTATCTATATCTATCTATCTATCTATCTATCTATCTATCTATCTATCTATCTATCTATATATATCATATTAACTACTTCAACTCATGCACATTCAGTATATACCCCTTAGTTAACAAAGTAATTTTTACATTTCAGCTATGAACCTATTAACTGGGAAATAATTTGTCACTATTTAGATACCAAATTGAAAAACAACAAGACAACAAGGTTTTTTTGGGAAATTTTGTTCTCTGATTTGTAC